TGAGTAAGTTACTAAACACATCTAAGTCTCAGTTTCCTGTCTGTAAAATGGGATAATAATAATGCCTATTTTATAAGGTTGTTGTGTGGTAAAAGAAATAGTGCACATAAAAGCACTTAACATAGGCCCTGGCCAGGGGGCTTAGCTGGTTGGAGCATCATCCTGTACACCAAGAGGTTTTGGCTCAATTCGTGGTCAGGGCACATACCTAGGCTTCGGGTTCAGTCCCGTTCTGGGAGCGTATAGGAGGAAACCAATCGATGTTTCTCTCTCACATCGACGTTTCTCTCTCTCTCTCTCTAAAATCAATAAACATATCCTCTAGTGAGGATTTAAAAAAATATTAAAAGCATTTAACATAGTGATTGGTCTATAATAACTATTCAGCAATGTTAGCAACCATTACCATCATTACAAATCATTTCGAAAGTGAGGTACTGAAAAACTGGACAAGGGCAATAAAAACTAAAATAGCCCCAATTTAAATATGAGCAATGAAGAAAAGAATGGAGCAAGGTAGCTCAAAAGGTTTGACTGCAAAAGTATCCCAAGAGATAGATGTGGAATAATTATGTTATCAATATGCTTTAAGATATAAGCTACAATGAACTGACTACATACCACGTATCAAACACCATGCTAGATATAGTATATCTAATCCTTAGGACAACTCTGAAAGGTAGGTATTAGCTCAATTTTTTGCAAAAGAGAAAATAGATGCTCAGAGCAGTTAAGTACTAGCTATATAACCTCGGGCAGGATAAGAAGCAAAGCCAGGTTTGAAATCCATGACCTGTTTCCAAAGCCTCTGTTCTTTCTGTTAGACTCAGTCTGTACCAATAAAAATTACATCATATCACATAGACATACTTGTAATTATCTTTCTACTCACGTTGTTAAATATGGTGACCATAAACATGTCTAATCTTTTATACATTAAAAGAAAAATATAAAAGTATTCAGCATAAAAACAATGATGAGAATTTTAAAAGCATTATGCAATAGAGAATCACCATACCTCTAATGAAAGATAGTTGGAGAAAATATAAACTATATTAAATAAAAGGAATGACTAATCCTTCTCAATAACATGTGGAAAAATGGCATGGTTTTTACATCATTTGAGTATATTAACATTTGTCCCATACTACATATCATTTTAAACTGACACCTGGTTTATAAAAGAAGTATCTTACACATATAGGAATATTTTTATGATATGAACCCATTAAATGTTCAGAGTTATAAAGACTACTAATTCAGTCACAGAGGTAGAATGCCCCAACCTGTTAACAATAAAGACCACAGGGTGGCAGGTGACCTACTTCTTCAGTGTTTCTCCACAGATATATTCCCCAACGACAGGACCAATGTGCCAGTTCTCCACCAGAATGCTACTTCATCTAAATTTTGGATGAAAATACCAAGTACACCAGAGTAAGTTAGTTCCCTGAAAGTCTTTTCATCTGACTTCAAAAAAGTCAGAAGGTAATTTACTAGGTTGGCCAACAAACTGCGTAGTCAGGTAACTAGTTTCTGGACTAGTAGTTCTCAAAGTGTAGTCCAAAAACCCCTACGTGTCCCCAAGACCCTTTCAGAGAATCCAAGATGTCAAAAACACTTTCACAGTATTACTAAGACATTATTTGCCTTCTGCACTATCATTATCTCACAACTGTAACTGTGATATCTTAACAGACTAAATGCAGAAGTAGACATGGAAATTTCTATAACTTCTATTAAGCCAGACATTAAAATAATTTGCAAAAACATAACACAATGCCACTCATCACTTTTTTGGGGTTTTTTTGGGAAAATATATTTTTTTCACTAAAAAGTTATGTTAACATGTAATGTTTTACTATTTTTAAATGAATTAAATATTTTTAAATTCCTCATTTTTATTCTAATCCAATAAATATTGATAAATATAACTCACTTAAATGGAAGGCCTTTGGGATCCACAATAATTTTTAAGAGTATAAAAAGGTACTGACACAAGAAATTGAGAACCACTTTCTAGACCTTCCTATATTTATGTTTTGCCAAACAATTAAAGCATTTAATTTCCTAATTACTATTGAAGAGATGTTGCTGCCCTAAAGATAATTTCAGAAATTTGTCTTAACAAAAAGAAGCCTACAATCTTAAAAATAACTTTATCCACTAATACAAAAAATTAAACCATTGATTACATCTTCCCAAAATAAAAATAAAAACAATGGCAAAACCAAAGTGTGAGCTAATAGACCACATCTATAAGCTTTGGACATGAGAAGGGCTAGAAGAGAGAGGAATGTCTTCCAACAAAAGGGATGATAGATACATCCTGCTAAAGAAGGCATCTAACCTGGTACCTAAACATATATGATTTCAACAAGTAACCACTGGAAATGAAAGGCATCCCAGAAAGAGGAAAAGGCATACATTCAAGGAATAGCAAGTACAAAATAGCTCCCATAGAACTTGTGATAGACTCCAGCAGGAAAATAGACTGGAAAATTAGGTTGGAAGCAAAACATAGAGGACTTATAGGACAGGATAAGCAATCTGGGGCTCTATTCAGTAGGCAAGGGGAAGCCACTGGTAGGTTTTTAAAGTCATTGTTAGATTTACCATTGGCAGGTAAATTATCAGGCGATACCTTCACAATACTATGGACTGCACAGAGTAGAAATAGGACAACAATTAGTGCACTATCATACCAGCCCGGGCAGAAAATAGTAAGAGTTTGATATGGGTTAGGCGCTATGAAAAAGACAGATACAGGACATGCTGCAACCTCTTCACTAATAGTTTACTTAGTTTAAACATTTCAAAACCTTAATTTACTACACAAAACAAGGTTGGCATTCACATTATTTTCATTAAAAACCTTTCACTTCATAGACAATATTTCAGCATACTTAAGTGTGCTTCCTTTTTAAAAAAGCTGTTAGGAATAACTATTGTACATTAACACTACAAAATGGGTAATAAAGAAAAATACCATACGCATATTTTCAATATTCTAAATACTCTCGGTATGCAAAATTTCATTAAAGGATGAACATTTTAAACTCAAAAGTTTATTAACATAAAATACACAAAGTTTGGATCAGAATTTTCTATACAACCCTATAAGACCCACATTACTACATAATTATAATAGTCAACTTTTCTTAAAATTATTTTTGGACAACTCAACTCAACTTGGCCAATATTCTTCTACTAGGCCCATATTTTTCAAATATTAGTGCCTTCTTCATTTTCTTCCCTCCTCCCTTCTCAACTCTCCGCCCAACAAATTCCCTTTGTATGTCTGCAAGGCAAGGCACAGTATGGTTTTAAGGAAGTTAGAATACATAATCTTTATAATAACAGAAATTTAGAATTATTAATCTTACTTTTGACAGGAAAGGAACCTATGATGCACTAAATTTCCATTAACATGAATGACAATTGCATCTAATAGAAATGATGCTTTACCATTAGAGGGGAACAAAAGGGGAAATACACACAATAGATGAGTAGTAAATCTTACAAACTTCACAAAACACTGAAAAACTGCATCTAGATTTCAGTCACAATTATAAAAGCAAATGATGAAGACTCCAAAATTAAGGGAAAAGGAAAAAATTCCAAGTGATCATAAGAGTGAAAAAGGCTGATTCAACATTCGTATGCTTTTAATACAGCATCCTTTAACACTCTAAGACTAACTGAAAAAAAACAAAGGATAATTCACTGTTCACAAGGACACAGGAAATAATCTCTGCACACATTCTACAAGGCAGTTATACTTCATTACATTTGCATGGTCTCAAATCCTTTCAAATGTTTCCAAAAATACATTGGCTTAGAATAACTGAGGTTCCCCAATGACACCCAATTAATTCTGTAGGTTTAGCTATAACACATTTTTAAAAGACATAATGAATTCATGCTCAACAAAAATAAGAAGTCACAAAGGCCCTCTACTTATTCAAAATCATTACATAAAGCACTGTCCATAATTTCAAACAGGGTTTGAAAATCTGACAGCTAGTAATTATAAAATGGGATAGACTTTAAAGAAAAAATTTACCCAACTTTCCCATTTTCCTTCCTTTTCCTTTCCTACCAGAGACACAAAATGTCTGTAAGGGTCTCAGACAAAGCTATAAAGTAAAAGTACAATATATGTATACTTTACATATGTTCGAACCTATCATATATATATACACACACATCACATATATTCACACAAGCAAGGTTTCTCCTTTTTTTAATATAAGAACTGAAGTTACATTAAACCCTATCCCATAAATTAGATTAAATGACCACAAATTAAAGAGTAATAAAATACTGCATGTAGGTCTCTCTGAGTGACTATGCTCGGAGGAAAAATAAAAACCTCAGAGTAAGGCCACAACTGAATAAAAACGCCCAGTCCCTGAAAATCACTAACCGGCATTTGGTTTCTCTAAGAGAAAGGGGCGGGGGGCGGGGGGGGGGGGGGGGGGTCTTAAAATGAATAATCACCCTGGCAAGCCAGTTTCAGAAGTTAACGAAGGTAAAACAACGAAGCAAATGAGACAAATGCAGGAGATGGCAAGCTTTAAAGAATTCCCCCAAAGGGAAAGGCTGATTTCAAGACTGGATATAAAGCATCCTTTTCAAGTAGAATCTTTAATTGAAAGAGAAAAGGGGCGGGGGAGGGGGGGACGACAAAACCTGAACGACAGGCAAAGGCAAAAAAGTGAAGAGAAAAAAAAGAAAAAGAACGAACCAAGGGTCTCTCCTCCCACCCCCCACTCTGACCCCCACCCCCACTCTCGCAGGACAATAGGATCAGGGTCCTAAATGCAAACTCTAAACGTGCAAACGAGCAGCAGTTTCACTGCAGCTCTAACTGTAAATCTGCCCCCACATCCCAAAGCTAGCGCACCCAGGAATAATTCTGCCCTGAAAACATCACCAAGGTCTTGTTAAACACAAATCAGACCCATCACAAAATTCTTTTTTTTTCTCCCAAGTACCTGGAGGATCCATTTCAATATAAAATATCAGTTCTGTCGAGTAGGGCATCATCACCTCCCTCCAGTCTGCGTCATCGCGGTCCATACTCCACACCGTATTGTACATCGCGCTGTCAGCGGCAGGTTGTCAAGAAATATATAGAAAGCATATATTTTTTTATCTGGTATTTAAAAATATATATTTGTAAAAGTCCCACACGGAAATGTACTTCTGGGTTTTCAACAGCCGGTATAAGTCCAAGCAACTATCAGGACGAGGAGAAGATCCTCTACCTCTCTCCTCTACAGCACCCAACAAAATGCCCCCGAACTTTCAATCAACGGGCTTTGCTCCTCCGGGAGGTACAAAGACGCTCCGAGGGCGGAGGACAAAGGTGTTAAAAGCGGCTTCCCAAAAATCCCTTCTACACAGTCGCTCTTCAAAGAGAAGACCTCCCGCCGCCTCCAAATCTTTCCGCGGAAGCCACTTTTGTGTCCTTCGATAAATAAAGACCAAAAAAAAAAAAAAAAAAAGGAAAGCTCTGGGAGCAAGGTGGGAAAGTGACAAAGGAAGGCATAAAAAGGGGGAGTGGGTACTGGGTTCAAGTTTCGGGGTCCCACTGGTCGGCAGAGAGCTATCCCCTCAGGGGCCGAAACTCGGGCTCTATCTGGCCGGGCTCGGAACCCCAGCTGCTGCAGCCTCGGGATTTGGGCCCGCTGGAGAATCCAGTTAGCTGTCCTCGGCTGAGCGCTCCCGCCGGTATGTAAGCACGCTTGCCAGAGCCGGTTCCCCTCACGCTCTACTCCGACTCCAGCCACTAGTTTCATTTTAACGGCACAGAGGGGGACACCCTCCCCGCCTCCACGCTCCCCCGCTGAGGGACCACCCAACAGCGCCGGGCAGGGGGGACAGCAAAATCACCACTACCCCTTCCACTCTATCGCTCCTTAATGAGCTGGGGGTTCTGGCAGGTGCATGAATAAATGCTCCGAAAACTGTCCACCATCTCGTCTTTCATCCTCCCCATTGCTCTCTAGGCCTCAACTCGTTCATTATCCACCCTGTCTTCACCCAGCCTCCATCAAAATGGTACGGTCCGGGCGCTGGCCGCAAGCCAGGAGTTGGAGCCGGGAGCACGCGAGCTGGGAGGGGAGGGAGGAGAGGAGGAGCGAGGAGGAAGAGAGGATAAAGTGTGTAGTGATTGGCTGATCCCGGTTGCCCGAGCTAGGAGCCTGCGTCTTTTGTCTGCCTTGCTCCGGCGAAGGAGCGGGAGACGACTGCGCGCCCCAAGCGGGCCAATCAGGAGCCATCCGGCGCCGGCCGGTAAGGCGGCGATTGGTCGGAGCTCAGTTACTAAGCGGGACAAAGGCGAAGGGGGTAAGAAAAGAGGAGGAGGGGGGAAAAAAAAAAAGAAAGAAAGAAAGCGCAAACGGCGGTTACTGACAGGCTGGGCGAGCACTCGGGGGCTCAGGCTGCCCGGAGACAGGCGGGGCTCCCGCTGAGGCTTGGTCCATCGGGACGAGTGAGGCGAGGGGGAGGACCGGCTGCCGTGAAACACCTCTGCCCGGAGACTGGGCGGGGGGCGGAGGAGCGGACAGAGAGGGGCGCTTGCTGTCACATGGCGGGTGCGCGCTTTTTTAGTCCTTAGGAGGTCCCGGGGCAGAGCCCCTCCCCACAGACCTCTTCACTGTGCTGGGACAGCGCCCCCCCACCGCTCCCCCATGCAAAGTTGTCAAGTAAAGCAAAGGTCTCCGTACTCACTTGCTGGACCGTTACCGCTCAGTGAGAGGATGTGCCCATAGCCCCGTGCAACCTTCCCCCGTAGCTACCTGAGCCCAGCCCCGGCTCCCCCTCACCCCCGAACAATTAGGCATTTCTTAAGGAAGCATTTCTCAGTTCCTCTGCGCTTCCCAGCCAAGGACTTTTGAACCCAGAGATAACTCCTCACACTTGAAATAGGGGGACGCCACAGCAGGCCCCTCAGCTGGAGTGTTTAAGCCAGAAAAAAATGGCAGTTACAGTGTGTGTGATTTCTGAGATAAATCACAGCTGTTGGTATCCTTAGCTAAAAGAGCTCTACTGTTTCCCTAACAGACCCTCTTCCACATATACCGTCCCCACCTCCAAGCTTAAAACTATGATAGGCTTCAGTATGAAAATGATAAACATTTCCATGCATTTCAAAAACAGCTCATTAAACTTGCTGGGGAACACAATAGTCAAAAGCAGATTTGTGTGTGTGTGTGTGTGTGTGTGTGTGTGTGTGTGTGAAGGTTGTACCTGGAATTGCCATTTCTGCAGACCTTACAATGCAATCTGGAGAGGCCAAAAACTGCTCCATTTCCCATTTACGCAGGAGCAACAAAGCCCATTGTGTTTGGGTTGACAACCTGACTTAAGCCCTAGCAAAACGTTCTACTCTGAGTGGCTCTGCTCTATTGATTCATGCCTGTGGAAGAGTTGCCACATTTCACCTCTACCTCCTCAAGTGGTTCTGCTTTCTTTAAAGGTGCTCTGAGTTGACACAGTTCCTAGCAGCAGATGCTCAAAATGTATGTGGACTGTATATATAGTCATGGATTTAAAAGAACCACTAGAATGAAAGGACAGGTTTGAGCTGACAAAACACATTAGGATTCTTACACACTTGGCTCCTTCCATTTCTAAAATCCAAATGTGATTCAGAAGCCAGATCAACTTTGAGACAGGGCACCTTGTTAATTTAAATGTCCTGAACTGTTCCTCTAGGTAGAGGGTGCTGGAAAATCAACTCTAATCTGTGGCCAACTTCCCAGTAGTCTCTTTACTTCACTATATCTGAGAGCCAGAAGTACTCACATTTGATAACTCAAAAGGCAGAACAATCAGTCAAGGGCAAGTTGGTTTATTTTTGTTCATGAGCGTCCCAGTGCATTCCCAAACAAAATGAAGGTGAGGAGAAGTGTGGAAAAGATAATGGCTTTCAGATTTCCACAGCTGCTTTTGCCTGGACCACTTTTCATCATTTAGTGGTGGGGTTTAAATTTCTAATAATCAGCAATCAGTGGGCCTTTCCTACAGCTAAGGCTTTGGGAGGTGTAGTAAAGAAGCAGTACAGTATATAATCTTGTGCTCAAGACTGGCACATGGAATAAAACTGATTCAACCTTGCCACCTAAAATTGTATTGACCTAAATGTCCAACAAATAAACCTTTGAATAGGAAACCTCCAAAGAATAACAGTGATGTAACAGGCAACGATGAATCAAGGGGAAGCACACTTCCTTCTAATGGACTTGAACCAGTGCCCTGCCATGGTGGGAAGTGCCTGTCATATGATGCTGGCCTTACTTTCTTTCAGTGGAGAAATAGAAGTGAGGTTCTAACTGTTTGTCACCAAACCGCCTCAGGCTCTTTGGCAAAGATAGAGAATGTTAGCTCTGGTGTCCTGGACCATTTCCATCCTGGAGAATTATATTTGGCCTGGGTGTGGATTAAATTCAGCTCTAAGAGCTCAAACTCCTGGGTCACAACCTGCTACTTTAGGAGTTGTTTTTCTTTTTCCCTTTTGCCTCCCTCCTTTCCTTTTTTTTTAAATTTAAAGTAGACTTCGGAAAATCACAAAATCTGTCTGCCTTATTTATATATCTTTGAAATAGGAGAATTGCCTTCAGATTTATGCAAGCTTCTTAGTTTATTGTAAAACACTCTGAGAATGAAAAAATGCCACTTTAGTACTTAGAATTAATAGTTTCTATAGCTCCAAATGGATGGAGTTGTCCTTCACTTTTCACCCTGGTATGGTCTTGCTATGAAACTGTTCAAATATGATCCATTTCTCCCTCTTTACTTCAGAAGTGGATGAAATATTTTTCTATGCACTGAATATAGGGTATGATCTCAGAGCTCTCTGTGCTTGCAGAATCAGCCTGGAACTCAGCCAAAAGTTCTTTGTGATTAAAGGTGCCATCTGAGCACACAATATTTTTTTAAAAGCCTTGCAAAATGAAAACATACTTTTATTATTTGTTAAGGTCATTAGCTTTAACCCCAGGACTGACTTACCTTTTTGGGAAGGATGACTGGCCCCAGTCCCTCTTTTTTCTCTCTTATCCTCTTTCCTTGACCACTTGTCCTGTGTTAAGACCAAGTCCATGCAACTAAATAAACTCAATAATTGAGATTCTAAGAAAAATACAAATTCTGAGTTGTGGATTTCAGGACCTCCCCAGCCCCATGCCTTGCAAGGTAGGGATATATCAAGTTTTGATGAAAATGTTTGCCTTTAGAATGTAAAAAGAGCAGTGCTAACGTATCTTCTAGAAAGACATCTCCCTTGGAAATTGATTTTCATCTCTTCAGATAGCAGTGTCTAAAGTCATGATTTTTTCCATTTTTCCAAAATGGTACACCTTTTATTCAGCATTGCAATTTTTTTAACCTCACCTCTCTACATGTTTCTTAGAACTTGCAAAACCATGATAGTGTTCATCATATCAGCCCAAGGCACTGAAAAATTGTAACATTAGAGAAATAAGTGGTATTCATAGAAGTAGCATTTCTCCAGATGCTGCTAAATTCCTGGGCTTAGGGACACTGTTTTGAGGGCTTCCTCAGACCCATCAGTACATGATGTAGATCTCTGCCTCACTCCACTTCAGATTCTCCTTTAGATTTAAGGGATCACAAAAAAACAGGCCTCTCTCTCTAGCCTAGCATGCCCCCCTCTTTTTAGTGTCTGCCCTTCCAGCAACACAGGGACCACCTAGTTAGTATGTAATGCCACTGCTGCAAACTTCCCCTCCATCGAGGCAATAGCTTTCAGCTTGGCTCTCACCAGGAGAGAGAGCAAATGAGATCCAAATGAAAGGAACAATAGTCCAGGTTGTTTCACAAGGGCAGGGCACAAACAGGGCAGGCAGCTGGTGAGCTCTGTTACCTCATTTAATCTCCATCACCCTGAGGAGGAGGGTTGTATTTTTATTCTCATTTTACAGATGAGGACATCGAGACTCAGAGCAGTGAGGAGACTTGTTCAAAGTCACGCAGCCACTTAGTAGCAGAGCCAGAATTAGAGCCCCACGTCCAGACAAGTTAATTGCCTTTCCCGCTATACCACACGGTTTCCCTCCTCCTGTTCATTCACTTAGCAAATGTTTATTGATGTGTCCAAACACTGGAGATAATAAAAAAATAATAATAATAATAATACAGAGTGCCTAACATTGAGTCCAGAACTCTCAGAGGAGGCCAAGAAAGGAATAAATAATCCCAGGCATGTGATAAGTGCTATAATAAAGAAATTGACAAAGTGTTGTGTAAGGCCCCGAAACAGTGATGATCTCTGCCTACGTGCAGGTGAGTAAAGGCTTCCTAGAGGAAATGAACATTTGGGCTGCTGCAAACTTGTATGCACCTGCTTTAAACATGTGGTCTCCTCTCAGTTTCCCCAATCCATATGATTAGTTCCAAACCTGAAAAAGTTTCACTGAAAGCTGACCCAAAAATCAGGTCACTGAAGAGTTCCTCATCATCTTTAACTGGACTACAATAGTCTTCTCATTTTCTTCCTGCCTTGCCTCCTCCAGTCCATACTCTACACAGAGTGATGGCTCTAAATAAAAAAATCTAAACATGTCACTCCCTTGCACCAACCCCACAGTAATTTCTTTTTGCCTTTAGGATAAGTTTCAAGTCTCAGTCTGGCATTCAAGGCTTTGAAGATCTAGCCCCTGCCCAACTTTCCAGTCTCTTTTTACACAATTCTTCATGTCACTCCTAAGATATGCAACACTGAAGTACTACAGTACTCAGAACAGTAGAA